AACATATTTAGCCACTCAAAACTGAAGACGCCTCTTGGGTGAAAGGTGAAAAAAGCAAAAAGAGAAGTCCAGTTGTCGTCTACTAAAGCTCTTAGGATTAGCTTGACCTGGATGACTGAGAATCCACACACACATTAAACATATTAAGACATGTCAGTTTCTTGCAGTGTCTTCAGGCACTTGTGTTGTCAGTTGAAACATCAGCTTAAAAGAGTTACAGTTTTAACATACAAGCTTCCAGTTTTCATCTACGTCAGTGTTAAGGCTGGAGCCACTTAGATATATCTGCTGTAAATGTATTAGCTATGAAGTTGCAGTACAAGACGAACTGCTAAACACGAAGGAGATTCTTCTTTTTTTAAATCAAATATGTCCAAATGGGGCTGCAAGGTGGAGTGATGGTTAGCACTGTTGCCTCACAGCAAGGTCGCCGGATTGCGTCCCAGTGAGGACACCCAGGATCTTTCTGCGTGGAGTTTGCATGTTCTCCCCGTGCAGCGTGGGTTCTCTCCGGGTTCTCCGGCTTCCTCCCACAAGGTCCAAAAACATGTTGAGGTTAATTGGTGATTCTAAATTGTCCGTAAGTGTGAATGTGAGTGTGCTTGGTTGTCTGTCTCTTAAGTGTAGCCCTGTGATAGACTGGTGACCTGTCCAGGGTGTCCCCTGCCTTCACCCTAAATCAGCTGGGATAGGCTCCAGCCCTCCACGACCCTAGTGAGGACTGAGCGGTGTATAGATAATGGGTGGGATGGATAGATATGTCCAAATGGATTGTTTTTGGAATAGAGTCATGACTTCTGATTTCAATGTTTTTTTTGTGTTAAACTAATGCTAATCAAAACGTTTTTTCTTTAGCTGTTTGGTGAGTTAATCTGCAGAATGGAAGGATGGCAGATCAAATTAAAGCATCTCTAGCAATATAAGAGTTAACACACCAACTTCAAATTTGCTAAATGTAACATTTTATTAGCACAATATTCACATGTTTGTGTGTGTGCCCTTTTTGTTTTTTTAGTGAATGTGAGGCCTGAATCTGTTTGTTATAAAGCCTAATTGTTGAGTGTATTGGTTTGGCATGTATCCACCCCCTCATTCCTCCTACATATCCCATTAATAAATAAAATAAACTATACAATAGAATCGAGGATGACACACGAGGACAAAATATCTCAGGAGGGGGATGGCTGTGAAAACCAGGAGAACAAAGTGTATGCAAAGATAAAAGTGGAAACGGTGTAGAGGACTGGGCCACTAAAAATACTGAAATATGAAAAACGGTGTGAAATGAGGAGGAAGGAGCGAGCCAATGTTAAGAAAAGAGGTTCGATGCAAACAGAAAGGAGAGGAGACATCGTCAGGCTCAGAGGCAGAGCGTAACCACTTAGCCCTTCCCCCGCTACTCATGGTTCTAGAGAGCAGAGAACAATAATGAGATTTATAGATGTACTCCAGACCTCAGGTAGGTGTAATTGTTTAATGCATTTTTCAGTTTCATTTAGTCATCTAGAGGCTGTCAAGTAGGTTCACCGCTCACTAAGGTGGTAACAGCAGACGACGAGCATTCGTTCTGCACCGTTCAGTATGCGATGCTCGTTTCGGTGTGACATGTTGGCCGTTTGGGATACCCTGTAAACTGGTTACTGTCAGACTTCTGTGTATATTGACAAACTTGCACTTCCATGTTGAATATTCAGCTTCACTTGGAGCGTTTTGGCAGCGCACCAGCTGGGCAAATACTAATTTTAATTTCCCCTTGAATTTGACAGTGATACCACCTGATTTACCTGTTTTGTTTCTTAGCTTGAGTGGCATGTTTATAGTAAGTCAAGGCCAATTCTTTAACAGTAATGGGAGTGACTCTTTCCTGAAATGCCAGGAGACTTGTGTAAATCCTGCCCAGCATACTTGAGCATTGACACATGTTCCTGGTACTGCACTTCCATGAAAGTGATTGTGACATTACTTGCCACACACGAAAACACCTACAGTTTAGCCACCTACTGCATGGGAAACGCATGATGAAATAGAAACCGTATCTGCGTCTAGTTTCTGTTCCTGCGGTGCTCAATGTGTGTCCTTTTCTTTGCACTGTGGGATTACAGGTGGGGTTTCATCTCAGCAGTCCTGGAGTCCTACAATCAAAGGGCTGATGTGAAGATGAAAGTCTTGTTTCAGTTTTGAAGCTGCCCTTTTCATGAGGTTTGGGCCAAATGACAGCACCTGTCTGTGTGTCTTAGAGATCAACATTCAGGAGGAACAACATAGATCCTGTGCAAAAAAAAAGCAGCCGGGGCAGAGTGGACGGACAATAGCTCAGTCAGAGCGAGTGATGGAGAGGGAAAGATAAAGGGAGTCTGGGTTTTGTAGTAGTGAAGGGCTCCGTGAAAGGGCACAATAAATCTACCAGAAGAGGAAGATCAGAGACCGGCCAAACCCACACCCCACCGAACACACATACATGCTTGAGATGTTTTTTTTTCTAGTCTCCCTGTAAGCTCATAAATTTTGGAACAAAGTCAAGTCTTTGCTGCTAATACTGAGACTGAAGCTTGCAGTGTACACTCCATCCTAATACTGATTATTTGAATACATTTTTAACAGAGCATTTTCACCAATCAGTCACAACATTAAACCACCTTTCTAATGTTTTTGTAGCTCTGTCTTGTGCCACCAGAACAGCCCTGTCAGGGCACGGACTTGGGGCCTCTGGGAGTGTTAGGGGTGTTAGCAGTGGATCCTTCGGGTCCTTTGGGTTGCATGGTGAAGCCTCCTTGAATTGGGCTTGTTTGGACTCGTCCTGAGGGTGCTATATGAGATTGGTATCTTGGGAGTCGAGGGAGGTTAGAGACCAGGACAAATCTTTGGGGCTCTTTGTTGTGTTCTTCATGCCGTTCCTGAGCAGTTTTTGCATTGTGGTGGGGCGCATTTTTCTGGGTCTGCAACAAACGTGTCAGTGGATGGTTTGTGTAACATGCTGGGCTCAAATGTTTTTCAGTAGAACACTGCTTCGTAACAGATTAATAGATAAATGATAATCACTTCATCTTTCAGTGGTTTTAGTGTTATGGTGGATTTGTGTAACCGGAAAAACAAGCTAAACTAAAGGCAATTTTACACCTAAAGTTTGTCTATTCTTGTCTGAATTACTTAATGAGTTTGTAAAATTGGGATGTTTTTCCCAATTTTAACGAACCAAAATGCACCACTACAAACCACATAGGAGCATTAACTCTGCTTATTATATGTGTCTGGGGCAGGAGCAAAAAAGTAAATACATTAAGAAGGCCCTGCATTCTGGACTACAATATGTGTCTGTGAGAAAATCATCACATGTGATATCTCGGTTCTCAGCATACCTACTGCGGTTGCTACTGCAACTAAGCAAGCTGCTCCGGTTTGCATGCTTTGCCACATCTCAGACCATGAAGGACAACTAGCTACAAGAGCCGGGAAATTCAAACTTGCACTTGACAGTTAAGTTGGCTTGTGGTTCCCACCACAAAGAAACGGCTCCAGAGGTTGTTGGTTGGAAACCGGATTGAGGACACTTCCTCTAAAGAATCTCTGTGTCGTTGTCCCATCTGTGCACAAGTGCGATTACTACGTTCACCCCTGCCCAAACATATTGCACCAGAAGGGAAAACGAGCTAGAGACCAATCTAACCAGAATATAAAGCTGTGGAAACACCTTAACACAACACAGACTCGGCGCTGTATCCACAATATTTTATACATCTGTGTTCTCAGCCTACCAACAGGCCACAGCTATTCTCTTTTTCTTCACACTCCTACACAAACCGCTCCACTTCTTTCCCTGATTAGAGATTAACAGACAGTTTTCTTTAGTTCTTTCCAGTAAATTACCTTAAAAGTCATTTCTTGTACAACATCAAGTTCGTATTGCCAACAAACTGCTGACCACGAGTGCTGTATTGCTGTCAACGAAGTAATTATATAACGCTGCAGTATTTCAGAGATTTGAAAAGGAGATTTGTGACAAGTGCTTTAAAGCCTTCTACAATCTGAGAAATCTTGCTTGGGAAATTAAAAGAAGTAGCGCTCGCTCTGTTCCCTCTAGCAGCTTGTCTTGAAGCGCTCTAGAGATCTAATGCATCGAGCTCCAAACGGCTTCAGGAAACCAGTGCACAAATTGTCAGATTAGAACTCTCTTTGCTGGTTAGCCCGCAGGTGTTAGTCTCTGTAACCATATGCATGTGAGTGCGATCACGTTCATTCAGCTCTTCTACACTGACCTACAAAGGTAAAAAAAACAACACAACATATGTATCCTGTACAATAGGCCTTGTTTGGTATATTGAGTCGTTGTTGCAAGTGTCAAGTTCATTTTTGGTGTTCCAAGAGTCTTTACAAGATTTTTTACTATTGTAAAGTACAAGACATTGCATAATCTTAAACATGTCTTCTTTTTATGAGCCACTGTGCTGAATAAAAACAGCTGTATGGGATTTTAGCAGTGCTTTTGATGCAGATCCAAGTCTGGATGCAAAATAGTATTAAAACATTCAGTACTTTGTGCAGCCCTGGTGAATATGAGCGTTCCAAGTGATTTCTAGTTATAGTTTTGTTGTCATCTTACTGTATGATGTTAATGCTACATTGGGATTTTTTTTTTTGCTGTAATGACAAGTTTTCACTGCTTTTGAGTAATGTCATTTGAAACGATGCGACTTGGCCTACAAAAGTGGCATAGAAATGAAATATATCCTGCAACTGATTGTCTAAATGACAAATTACGTTACGGCCTAATTTATAAAGTACCACCGACACTTGATAGACACACATTTTTGCACTCCCATTATCAGACATTTATTAGTGTTGGATCTGTCTAGGGATTGCCCAAGTTTGACATTATGACAAGGAACCCTGTTCTCTTTATAGCTAAAAGTATCAGACTGTGGCTTATTTAATTCATGGGAATTTACCGAGAGATTTTTGTCACCTGCTAATGCATCCTATTTCACTTTTCTTTTTACTTCTAGAGAAGCTGATAGCGTATCAGCGGGAGTTCCATGCTTTGAAAGAACGACTTCGTGTGGCAGAGCACAGGACGCTGCAGCGCTCGTCCGAGCTCAACAGCATTCTTGAGCAGTTCAGACGTGCCATTGCTGAAACTAACAGCAGCAAAGATGCCCTCACAAACTTCTCAGGTAACGGACACATGCAAAGACATATAACGGCAGGCTGAGTCATTTTTGTGCAACTGATGTGATAACATTACCTGTGAATTTGACAATGCTTTCTTTGTATCCTCTGCTGATCTGGATAAAATCACAAATGTGCTGTGCTCCTAGATGTGACAAAAGGTTTTTTGTTTTGCTTGCTGTTTGGTTTTGAGACACTGCAAAACAGATAAGATCTTGTCTTTTCCTCATTCAGAGGGGAAGTACCTCTCTGAAAAGCTAGCTTATTTTCAGTTAAAATTAAATGTGTCTTTCTTGATAAGTTTCAGATTGGCAGGATGGATTCACCCTCAAAACCACTGTGTGCACAATAGAACCGAGCTGACTCTAATCACAAGAACATTTCACTTCATAACACAGCACATAATTCAAATCCAAATGTACAACTGTAGGTTGTAGTCTTGTTTTTAAGCTTATTAGGGCTGCAAGTTAGGATCTTTGAATAATCTGCTAATTATTTACTTGAATATACGATATATAAAACGCTAGAAATCTATGGAAAAGACATGCTCAAGTAGATGTAATTAGATTGTTTTTTTTATTCAATCAGCATTCCATAGCCTAATAATATTTAGTTTATTCCTCTGTTTCTAACAAAGAAGAGCCATGTATTTTTTGCGCTTTAGAAGCTAAAACTAGAAACTATTTTGTTGGTGTTAAAACACTACCAAAACAATAAAATAATTACCAAAATAGTTTTCTAATCGTAATACATTTCATGTTGCGGATTGTCTATCAATCTTAAAATTACATGTCCTTTGCATATTATGTATTATTGTCATAATGGTAGAGTTATGCTTGTAGTGCACTGCAAAAAACGGTCAGAGTTTTACTTTACTTTTCATTTTGGTGTTTAATATGCATTTTCAGGCATTTTTAAATGTTTATTTTATTGTGTACTCAATTTGATTAAAAGATTTTGTCTTATCTGTTGCAGTAGTCTTCCATATTGCAATGAAAGGGAGTCTCGCAGCCATCAAGTGTTCTCAAAAAAGTTCTGATTTTACGTTGTTATTAAATCAGTGTATAGTCAAACATTTAATTCAGTAGCTCTGTAGTTAACGCATCACTTCAGTGTTGACAGCTGCTGCTTAAAAGTCTCATAATTTTTTCACTCTTTATGGCATTTCATCTTTATTTGACAGTCAAGCGAGATAGGAAATGAGGGCAGAGCGAGGGTATGACATGAGACAAAGGTCTCCCAGCCAGTAATTGAATCAAGGACATTCTGGTCATGTGGTGCGCACCGGAACAATTAGGCCACGTCCCTATAATTTTTCACTTCTGTCACCATTTGATGAAACTGAGAAGGGTTCTCCACCTAACTGGTTTCTTTGTGTCTGCTTTCAGATGAGACACAGAAACTACTGAAGGAGCTCGCAAACAGGAAGCCTCTCCAGGTGCCAAATATCTACCACCACCTGCCTCACCTCCTCAACAATGAGGGCAGCCTGCACCCTGCAGTGCAGGTTGGTCTCGGCCGCACAGGAGGTGAGAAGCACGAACACTGCGGATTCAGTATAACAATAGAGCTCCTGATTTATGAGGCTTTTTTTTCTCTTCATAATATGCATGCTTATGCTAAACAAACATAGTAAAACCTCGAGAGGTTCTCATTACGCCAGGGAGAACATCAAGTCTCTACAAGTTTTCAGTTTGTGACTGGTTCACAACAAGTATCCCCTCTGGACTGAGCTTTGCGAAAGGATATTTTCTGAAGAACATTTGCTGGGTTGAAGATAATTTTTGTCTGTTTATCATCCCTTATTTACTTCATATAGTATCTATCTGACCTCTTGATTGAAAAGGGATTTCCCTCCTTGTTATCAAATCTCTAATTTCTGACTTTTTGCACTTTGTGTGTTTAAATATTCAACAAGCCTGTGATGCCCACTGTACTTTTTTTTTTTTTAGTGCTTTTCAAAGAAGGTTTACACCAGGAACATCAACTGAAATTATTTATATTTAGGCCACAATAAATCAACAGCAACCCAAGCTCACAGAAGTGCAGCATGTCTTGTCAAGGCTGTCCTGTCATTAGCCTCCCATTCTTGTCACTTATTCTACTCCTCTTGCATAATTTTCTTTTCACTCTGATTTTCAGCCTTTTTTATTAAGTTAAGTTTTTTCTTCTTTTTACTCCTCAACCAGCAGCATACAACATGTGACCTCTGCTATATCAGGTTCTCTTTAAGAGGATTACTTATCTGGCTTTGCGAATGTGATAGGTGGAGTGAATTTGGGGCCCGGGGGAGGGAAGTTTAGGGGCTGAACAGCTCAAGTGGTGTTTCCACATTCCTAATGACAATGACTGAGGGGAAGAACAGAGGCCCTAGACAAATTAGAGGAAAGGAAGGGACAAGTCTATGTGGCATTATGACAGATGGGCAGGTATTTGTTATCTGTAGACAAGGTTTCAAGACTCGTTGGCTTTCTTTGAGAAATGAGAGGGAATGCCTACCCACTGATAATGAGTTTGTTGCTGCCTACTGCTTTGTTGTCAACAGCTTTCCACCCTAAAGTCAGCTGAGTTCATTGGAATTCACAGCCAGGCTGGAGGTACTGCTACAGGGAAAAGATCGTTGATCTGTGTGGTGGTGGGTCACAAAGACAAATGACTGCACACAGACTTTTTGCCCCTCCGCTAACTGTGAACGCCACATGACTTACTTGATTGGCTGCTGACAACTTTTGCCTCGAAGTGACAACAGTGACTTCACAGTCATTTTTTTCCTGTTATTCTATTGTGCTTAGTCTACCTCTGCATTTTTCTTTTTTTTCCACTTTTAGTCTTGTTTCACTGCTAGTCTAAGCATATCTGACATTGTGGTATTTATAGCTGTGTAAATTAGGACATCATCCCACTTGAAACTGAGCAAGGATTATGGGAAGAAAGAGCAGAGGCGACCTCTGAGACCTGTATGGTTGGGATGGGACCTGACTGAATCCCCTTTTAGACAGAAATCAACAAGAGTCGTTTGCTTGTCACTTGTGCCTCTTTACATAGTCACTACTTTGTTTGTTGCCAAGCAACATCGGTTATACACTAGAATTTGTTTATACCGACCAGCTATTTAACATGTGACAAGCTACATTCAAAGATCTGTTTTTGTCCTCTTTTGCTCCTGACTTTGGAATGCCTTTGCAGCCGTCTTTGTCTCTGCTAACTCTTCTGTTGGTCTGAGCAGAGTATAAACAGTCATGTGTCTGATCAGATACACGTGGTCTCAGACATTTCTTTTCTCCCCACTTAACAAAACCTCACTAGGGGAGCTGAACTTAGCTGACCCCACAGGTCTCATTGCTCTTTGTACAGACTAACACTAGGAGTTGCCAGTGCCATAACAGGAGTATGATCCCTCACTGGCGTCCCACTTAGAAGTGCTGCCAATTATGATGGTGGTTGTGTCCGTTATCATGTAGACCCCAGCTGGCAGCCCTGCTGCTGGGGAGTGAACTCAATTCTCTGCATTGGTGGGCAAGTGTTTTGATCTCACAATCTCTCCAAGACTGTGTAACGCTGCTTTTGTTCTTTCTGTGTAAAGGGCCACAAAGTCCGTACAAGTCTTGCCACTTGGCAAACATCTTGGTATCACCACCAGACAGTTATTTCAGACCAGCAAGACCAGATCTCTATCTACAGGAATGAGGGAGAGAGCCAAAACTGTAATTTCATTGGTCACTGGGACATAAAAACTGCATCAAATCTGATTTTTTTAAAAAAGAAAAAAAACAAAACACTGCTGAAAACATTTGGTGACTTTGCTCTATAAAAAAGTTTAGAAAACATTTTTAAACCTTTATACAAGCATGCGCTGCTTCACAACACTGTACTTGACACAGCACAACACCACAGTTGCCTGGATTTTTCCCAGTCCGACTGTTACAAAGCAGTTTATTAGATTTGGAAGGGAGGGGTGAAAGATGTGTCATTGGATTTCTCCTACAGATCGCTAATTAGGGTTCTTTAAGTAGCGATTCTCCTCCCTATAACATCCTTAGCTCGACACAGCAGAACTATCAATTCACCACAATACAAATCTCATGTCTGCGTGTGTTGCCTGTTTCTTATCTGAATTGCATTTCATTCTTTAGGAGGCATTGCTTGTAAGCCGTCAGCAAATGATTTAATGTGGCATAGAAACCTGTGATTTTGCTGATTAAGGAGTCAGAGTGGCAGAAGTTGTGGTCTAAGTTCATTAATCAGCACAATCTAATCAATAAGATCTAATCTGAAACTGATGCCTTTTAGTCGCAACTGCAGGTTTTTTAACATTTTCTTTATCGCTCTCCTTCCCTCCCTCTCCCTCTCACACACACACACCTTCACACACATGTAAACACTACACACTCAGTCATAACCCGTTATACACCAGGTACTAGTGTTCATCCTCTGTATCCCAACACATGGCTGACCAGTGCTAGAGGTGTGTATGTTAAACCTCATCCTGTGGCCAGTTTTTTGACTGAAGATCATTAATTAAAAACTGTCAGTGGTTTTGTGTGAATTTCAAAAATCACACATTATTTTATTTCAGCATTTTCCCTGCCTGGCGTGCTGCGTTGCTGCAGTGCAACACTGAAGGAAAAAAAAAATAGGACATGGTTCTTTTTTCCAGCTGCAAGCAGCATGTCAATGCAGCTGCGTTTTACAGGGCAAAGCTCTCAGTGCCGAACTTCAGGATAAAATGTTTGCATATACAGTAATGATCAGTCCTGATGCCCACATGTTGTTGACTTTGGCACATAATTGTCAGGTTTGTTGTTTACCCATGCCGAGGATGCAGGCGTTTAGAGATGCATGTCAGACAGTGTGTCACATAAATGTGCAGCCTCTCTCTATATTCACTTAGAAACTGTGAGGGTTGCAGCGTATTTTGTGTTAGAATACCATACATTTCTTCTTTTAATTGTGGTAAGACAGTACTGTGCACTATTAAACTGCACACAAACTGAACAATGAGAGTAAATTTCTGCCAAGGTTTCCTGAATACATTAGTGGTTGGAAAATGTAACCCATCTAATTGGGAGTGCAATTTATTTTTAATGTGTGTTCGATTCAGGTTGTGCATTGAGAGTTTTTCACTGATGACCGTGGTTTAGAAGGCCTGTTGGTTTTCCATTCACAAAAGTTAAAAAAAAAAAAAAAAACAGAACATGACTCCCACTGGAACCTAAATTACCCCTGAAGCATGACAGCTTCTTACATTTTCTCGAAGTGCAAGCCTCCCCATTCAGTTATTGTGATATCAAATCAAGCATGTTACTGTTTAGACACAAACTACAGCATCAGATAAGCACTAAATTCAGCAATCTCACACTCTGCTGTTGAGAATAGAATATACAACAACAATCCATGTACAGATTGGTGACCAATTAAAGGAGCAACCTGAACCTTAGACTCCTACATTGAGGCTATTGGCTCTGTTTGGCTGTGGAGGGCATTTTACTGGTATGGTTTAGATGCACTTGTCTCCTTAGAAGGAAGGGCTAATGCAAATCAATACAAAGTTGTTGAGAGCGATCATCTTTACTCTATCATGAACACTTCTATCCTGCTGGGAGTGGTCTCCTTTAAGATGACACCATAGGACATGAAGGCTCACTGAAGGGTTTTTATGAGCGTAACAATGATGTGAATCATAAACTGTGGCCTTTATAGACAAACCTAAAGAAGATATTGAGCAACTATTTCAAACAGTGCTCTCCAGTGCCATCATCAGGTTCTAGAGACCTAATTAGTGCGAAGATGCACTGAAGCTCTCCTGGTGGCACATGATTGCGCAACAGCTTTCAAAGTCACTTTATGTTGTTTTTCCTTTAATTTTTTACCCTTCTGTACATATGCCAATAAGAACAGACATTACATTTTTACAAATTTATTTCATCCCAAACTGCAAAACTAATTGAATAAATAACACGTCCATGTTTTATTTTTTCCTTAAGATTTCTATTAACATGCATCCTGACCTTGTGTTTGCCTTGTTGATTATGAACCCCTTTTTATTAGTTGCCTTTGACAAATCACACAACTTACAAAGTCCATCTAGTGTGCGTAGATGCTAGGTTTACAGCTAAGCAGCATTTTGCTGGACATTGGAGGCATACAGACACAGCTGAACACCAGCACCTTTTATTTGTATGGCGTGTCAAATCGGTTCTTTTCACTGACTTGACAGAAGCAAGCAGAAATATAGATTGTTTTGCTTTTTTTTCTCGAAGGAGATGAAAGGGTGGCAGAGTGATGCAGGCAGGCTGATCAAGGGACACGGGGAGGGGCAGTCTTGGAGTCGGTCCTGCTCATGCTGCACTTGCATGCATTATCACTCATTCACTGTCTGCCATCCTCCCTTATTCTGTCACTCTCTGTCTCTTTTCCTTCCTCCCACATTCTCCTTTCATCCTCGACCTACTTTCTTGGTGGTGGTGGGTGTCGCTATACGACATGGAGCTCAGCGAGAAAAACACAAAGCAGAACTGGGACAGATTCTTCACGCTGCACAGATCACTCTGGAGGATTGCACCCTTCTCTCAAATCCACTGTGCCGTTCACTTATCCTGCACCTCAACTTTGTTTTGAGGCTTTATTGAGGCCCCTTGTGTCCCCCCACATCAGCTCATTTAGCGTGTCTCCCACTTTAACCCCCAACGTCACCCATTCCATGCACTTCAATCGTTACTGTCCCCATGCGACAAGTTCTTTGTTTCTTCCAAGAACATTATACCTTGTTTTTCTTTCCGCAATTTATTCAAAAGATGCGAAACTCCCTGCAGGCTGCAACTCTCGGGTTTCAGTTCAGTATAGGGCAAGTATACAACGTATAGGAAAAGAGACACTTGAACAAGACAAAGAAAGCACACAGGCTAATAGGCAATTTCATGCTATCGTCTTGGCTTGTTTTCCTTCTGAGGACACAGTGTCAGATAACTAACCCGATGAACTAGTTCACTCCAGTTTGTACTTTCACACCACTGTGGGGATCCTCGTTTCCTACCAAGTAAAATCAACTGTTTTTACGTGTGCAACAGTCTGGTGTAGTTTTCAGGGAGTCTCTGAGTAGTAAAGAGGAGGCTGTCTGTTTAGATTTATACAGGAGGAGGAGTAAGGAGGTCTTTATACTGTTGTTTTGATCAGCTGAATGTTAATGTTAAACAAATGCAGTCTCAAAACCAAATGTAGTAAATACTCCTATTTTTGACTTTTATTTAAATTTGAAGATAAATATTGGCTTCATATTGACTATAAACATTGTTTGCTGATATGATTCATCTGTCGGTTAACTTACTAAACTAATGGATGACGATTTAGATTAACTGACTACTTATCATGTATCACATAAAAAAACATCATCTGTGTTCTGCTTTTCAGAAAATGTGGGATTTTGATCTATTGCTGTCATATCCTTTATACTTTGACAAAACAAGCTGCTGTAAAATATAGTCTTTGAACTTTTTATAGATTAATAGTTAATGAGGTAATGAAAAAAAAATACACATAAATCAGTAATCAAATAGGGGATTCAGATTTCCTTTGGAACTGTCAGCTCTATTGTTCCAGTTTTGTCTCCTCATTTCTGTTGGCTTTGGTCTGCCTGGTTTTTGTTTATTTTGGTTTAATAATTTAATTTAGCAGTGCATTACTCATTCCAGGATGAAGAATGATGCTAATAAATGCCATTTGTCATATAAAATCTTTACAAATATCTAAAGTGCAAATCATTGTAGCCTTTACAAAGTGATTCAGTGACTTTTACTTAAGTTGTAAAATGAAATGATATATGGTTGGAATTACTTTATCAACACTGTGTGTGGTCGTTGTTTTAAAATACATTTCTTTAAGAACATGCAGCATGGTCGTAGATGCATTACAAACTACCTCCATCAGTCATCCTTCCCACTGCCATCTGTCAGTCTGGGCATGAATTCCTGTTCATGTGGATTTAGGCCAATGTAATCTGTTGTAGTCTAACAGCAAAGATTATTTGGTTTTGAAACCACTTGATTAAACTACCACCCTTCCAGCCTTGGACCCTTTCAGTTTCTCACCTCACACTCTTCTTCCTAGTTACCATGGTGATGGGGATCCCCACAGTGAAGCGGAAGGTGAAGTCATATCTGTCAGAGACGCTACGTTCGCTAATAGACAAGCTGTCACCAGAGGAAAAACTTGACTGTGTCATTATAGTCTTCGTTGGGGAGGTGAGATCTCACATTTACAGCGTATGAGTCATAGCTTAATGCTTATGCACGAAATTAAAAAAAAAAAAAAAATATATATATATATATATATATGTGCTTAATGGTCTGTTTGTCTAATGTCTTTCTGGTACAATCGCTGCAGACTGACCTGGAATATGTTCAGAGCGTGGTTGCTGGTCTGGAGAAAGAGTGAGTACAATTTTTTTTACTTCCTGACACTTCCAGAAAAACTGTGAAAATCAGGATTGAAAAGACACTGACCTCAGACAAACTCCTGTATGTGTGTGTGTGTGTGTCACATTCTTGACATCACCAATGGCTTTCTTTCCTCAGGTTTTCTACAGAGCTGAGTTCAGGCTTGCTGGAGGTGATCTCCCCACCAGCCGCCTATTACCCCGATCTCACCAACCTCAAAGAGACTTTTGGAGACTCCAGAGAGAGAGTCAGGTAAGAAAACCATGATCGGGCATAACATCTTGTTTCATATTTGTGTTCAGAGCTCTGACACGTGATTAGAAAAAACTGTGACAGAAATTATTATCGGAATTGTGGAGAAAGCAAAATTGAGAGAATGAAATGCAGGAGAGCTGTGATGAGGATTGCAGAAAAACTAGAAGGATGAGTCAGGGGGAAAGTGGGAGGGAGAGAGCAAGCGAGAGCTTTTAGGTAGGTTGCTTAGGTACTTAGTATTCCACAGGCATTTCTCAAAGTCAGAGCAAGGTCATCAGCAGCAGCACCCTCTATCTCTGCCTCTCTGTAGTGCTCGGTCTGATTATCCTCTGTACTTATCTTCTCTTTATAGTTGGCTAACAACTGACTTCATTAGAAATCTGTTTATGGTGCAGTTTGTGCCGACACTTGTGGAGACTTAAAATATGTACTCGGATAATAGCCCTCAGGCAGAGAGGACTGTGTGTTGTGTTTGTTAGTGGGTGTTTTTGAGCACAGATGCTTCTGATAGCAATCTGAACTGAATCTTGTTTAACATGGTGGTTTAAGTGTTATATTTTAGACAGTTTTTGTGTGTGTGTGTGTGTGTGTGTGTGTGCGCGCGCATGATTTGAAGTCAGTGAGATAGAAAAAAGGCTTGTTATGTTATCTCACTGCCAAAACAGTGGCAAAAGTCAACCACCTGGCTGAGATTAAGTGTGTGTGTGTGAATCCGTGCACTCATTTTTGTAGTGTCTCTTCACCTGTGCATTAAAAGTATGTGGGTTTGCATGCATGTGTACTCACATATGTTTCTCCGTGCCACATCCCACACAAGAACACCTGCAGCCCTCGGTGACCAGCTATTAATTAGACTGCAACATCATTTAGATCAAACAATTAGCATGACAGCTTTGGTTTATAAATTATTCAGAGTCTGCTGTTGCAACGTTCCATATATCTACAGTACAGTTTGGCTTTTTGCATGTAAAGCAGTGTGTCTGACTTGCTTCCTACCAGTATAATATCTGTGAACATACCTTAAAATGCACAGAGATTGATTCACTTTTTATGTGCATGTGGCTCTTATTTCGTGTGTTGCTGATTTCTGCTTTGTTTAGATGGAGAACGAAGCAGAACCTGGATTATTCCTTCCTAATGATGTATGCTGTGAGCAAAGGAGTTTATTATGTCCAGGTATGTCCTTAAATGCAATAATAAATAAATAAATACTCCCACTAAGGGTGTAATGGTATGCAAAATAGTAGGCGTGTTAGTATGTGCTTTGGTTTTGGAGTCATGGTTTCATAAGCGTTTGATACATCAAAGAAAGCCAAAACAATGCATAACATAGTTTTTTTTTTTTTAAATATACAAGCGTTCACTTATTTATTGGCCACAACTGTTTAATAGTTAATACACTCAGATACTGGTATATTGCAAAAAAAGAAATAATCAACGTAAACTCTCTGACTTGTGTACTTCAGTTTGAGATTCGGACGAGTACATCATATTCCTAATTAATGTCAATTAAGCAGTCAAACTAGTTTACAATGTGATGTTTATTTCATTAACATGCAGGGCTAAATAGTACTTTCTTAACTTCTGTTTTGTCAACATTGAGGACACAACCATCTCATTTAAAGACACTTTATTGGAATTGTCACTGCACAAAACCTACTGGTGGCTTTAAGTTTACTTTTACTTTGATCTCCACATCATTACTGGTCGATTTTGAGCAGAGGAGTTGCAGGCTCTGGCCTCCCAAAGAGACCGATTAAAGCGTGTAGTGTGAGTGAACACAGTGTACAATATTTATAAAAGACCCTACTATCATGCTATAGCTACGACAACTGGAGTAGAGCGAATCACAGGGTGTACCAAACCAAGGAAGTCTCATACCGAAACATATGTCATGTGCTGTACAGTTTAGAATGAATAGGCGTACCGTTATGCCTCTTGTTCCCATTACAACTTGTGTGAGTGTATTTTAAGAAGGGCCCTGAAGGCGGTTACTAACATGTCCATGTGAAAGCCTGTTACTAGGCAAACATCGGTTTTCTTTTTGTTTGTCATACCAAATTAAACATAGCAAGTGCTTGACGGAAACTGTTGTTGCAGTCATTCGTCAGAGCCAATGTTGTCTTTTCCCCCCCGACTGTTATTAGCCTAATCCTCTTAGACTTCCACAAGTCCTATCTGTTGTCTTGGCCAAACTTAGCGTCATAAATGTGAGTTGAACTGCTAACACCAGCCGTTTACTGTGTTATTAATCTTTCATTTTTCTGTTTTATTCATGGATGTGTCATTTCCATTATCTGCTTTCACCTGGAGGGAAGAGGTATTGTCTGTTTGCCGTAGCATCGACTGCTACTCTAGTTTAGTGTAGCGACTCAGAAGTGTTCCGTAACTCCGACAGTTGTCCTTGAGTAAACATAGAGGAGTCTCCTTCCTGCTACTCACCCTCTCCATCAACTTTAAATCCTAAGTCCACCCCCAAAAGGGATTTCATCGGCCTTACATTTAATATTTTCTGTTCATCTGTTCCTTTAGCTGGAGGACGACATCGTGGCCAAGCCCAACTACTTTGCCACTATGAAGAACTTCGCCCTGCAGCTCTCGTCGGAGGACTGGATGATCCTGGAGTTCTCTCAGCTGGGCTTCATTGGTACAACCCATTAAAGCACTTGATCAATACTCAGCATCCACGGGGACATCAAACAGAGCAACATCTGCATTGTCAGCTGATTGCAAAGGCGAACAGTAGCATTTCTTGCTAAATGGATTTTCCTTTCCACTTGTCAAAGTATTCACATACTGTAATACTTGTAGTTATGATAAACAGTCGAATGCGATGCGGGTTCATCCAGAGCAGCCAGTAAAGAAAGGATGGAAATCACATTGATCACTGTCTAAATTAAGTCATTGCTGTTGGCAGAGAAAAGTAAATCCAACTTAAGCATGTCACTATAATATATGAATGAGGAATAGGTATATTTATATTGTATTATATTTATATTAGTCCAAGTGAAACATTTTTGTTTATTGTTTTGTTTTTGAAATTGCAAAGTAAGGGCTCTATTAATGTTGATTTGCTTCAGGGCCCATTTGTCAGTGTTTTACCTGATATATGATCATTTAAATTGAATCATAGCTTTATTTACAAAACACAGATTTAATGGTGGGCACACAACAGAGTGTTGCATACGCTGATGTATTGTAAATGTAGTTTCATATTTAACAGCATAGTTTAACAGTGTGGTAAACTTTTATGTTTGTCTCTGAGCAGTCGCTTCTTCTTTCTTCCACTTGTACATGTTATAATAATTCCCACCATCATTCATCTAATAGGAGAGTTTTTTTATATGAGGTATTGTAGCTGAATGTTTGGCAACACAATTTATCGATAACCCCGGGAGTTTCCTGTGTTCTACTGCTGGAAGCATATTGTTGACACTTAAACAATGGCCTTTATGCTTTTTGTCCACAAATGGTCCTTTGAAATGTAAAAAAAAAACTTGCAATGTGCTTCCATTGCTTTCACTGATGAACCGTACAGACTTCAGTATAAAAATCTTGAAACAGACCAAGACAGAAACCTTTTTCTCATCGACTTTTGGAACACACAGCTGAAATCATTTTTCTCAGGGTTATTTTTTATGACTATAATTTGTCGTGCCGTTCATGATTTTTAAGAAAGACAAGTTCCCAACAGGACACTATTTTGTTGTATTAATTCCAGTTGATAACGCTCTTTTTATTTACAGCGTAGCAACAAGTCCCCTAAGCTGTTTTAATGGTTTAATCATCTTGTTGCAAATAATTGGTTGCTAATGAGCCACTGTGGAGGATCAATGATCATCTATAAACTTGTTCTCTCTTCCCTACAGGAAAAATGTTCCAGGCTCCAGACCTGAACCTCATTGTTGAGTTCATTTTTATGTTCTACAAAGAGAAGCCCATCGACTGGCTGCTGGACCATATTCTCTGGGTCAAAGTCTGCAACCCTGAGAAGGATGCGGTAGGCACTGTGGTTACTGTATACCTATGAGTTTCAGTGTAAGGGGAATGGGTTTCATCATTTTTCATTTCTCCTTTTTTTTTTTTTTTTCCCCAGAAACATTGCGAGCGACAGAAGTCTAGCCTTCGTGTGCGGTTTAGACCCTCTCTGTTTCAGCATGTGGGACTCCATTCTTCTCTAGCTGGAAAGATTCAGAAACTCACAGTGAGTCTCACGCCCTCACCGTTGTTTTCAACAGCAGATGAAGCCATTTCCTGTGTAGAAACATTGGTTTCCCCTCTGTTGTCGTTCGTAGGACAAGGACTTCCTGAAGCCATTGCTCCACAAGATGCATGTTAACCCCCCAGCTGAGGTCTCCACTTCAATGAAGGTATCACTTCACACTTCCTATGACTTTAATGTTCTCGTTATCACCCATTGTATAGGTGATAGGAATATCGCTAAAAATCCAGATATAAACGTAATGTATCCCAAATTATACAAAGAATACAAGAGCATAACATGTGTCTTGGGTCATGCAGGTGTATCAGGGTCACACACTGGAGAAGACGTACCTAGGAGAGGATTTCTTCTGGGCCATCACTCCCACCGCAGGAGACTACATCCTCTTCAAATTTGACAGGCCTGTTAGCATAGAGAGGTAAATGTGAAGGGGGGGTCTATCTGTTTAGCGACATGTTTATGTAGCTCTTTATCATTTGCAGTGAAATAATATGATGAGCCTACAAAACACACACACATACCTTCCATAAGATAAGCCTTTATTAATCCCACAACAGGGGAATTTTACAGCAGCAAAGGGGATGATGCAAAAATCAGTGGAAAAATGCAAATAAACAATGAAAAGATGCAGAAGTACTTTTGATATTGTACAGATTATTCCACATTCAGATATTGCGTGGGATTATTCTATATGTAGGAAAAGACTGGTATTTCACAGAATGATATTGCACAGACTGTTACGCAAGCAGACAATACTGATATTACACACATTCTTGTACATATAGGAAAAAACTAGATGATGGGTTTTTTTCAGTTTACTAAATATTTATGACGCAAAGATTTTAATGCATTGATGTTGGACCAGTGTGACATATTTGCATATATAGGCATGTGCAAAAATCTGTCTTTTCATTTATTTTAGTCTGCTGTCCTTCACTGATTCAGGTTTAGACGTAGTGTGTGTGTGAGTTTGTGTGTGTGTGTATGTGTGTGTGTGCGTGCTATTCAACTCTGGGGATCAGGGTGAGCTAATGAGAGTGCTCTAAATTAAGCACACTCAGGCCAGCGCCCTGCTCTCTGTGGAGCCGAGGTAGAAAGGGAACAAGACTGTGAATATAAAGGGAGGTAGTAGGGGATCGGCCATTAAATTTATGTTAATATCTAGTCAAGTGGAGATGTGTTGATTGTATTCACTGCTTGTGTAAATATAGTATTAGGACCGGGACATTAACTCATCATCATGTAAGTGGCAGCAAGTGGGAAAAGAGCCATGTAGTGTTTCAGTGTGTTTTCTTGTCCCCTTTTGAGTGACACCAATTTCTCTGGCTCCGACTCTTCTGCTGTGCTGACAAGACACATCATCAGCAGTTGGTCAAGAGATGGAGCATTCTGTATAATCTGTCACTGCCTCTGTCTCTGGCTGTCATTTTCCCTCCTACTCCCACTCTCTGGCTGCTTAACATTTATTAATATAAGTAAATACACACACCCACAAACTTGAGAAAAAAGCTCTGTTTTAGATACAGTAGGGGATAATTATCCTTTATTTTGGGTTTGAATATTGCCACAAGTCCCATTCCGCACGACGCCCGTGGTTTGTGCATTCAAATCATCCTCCAGTTTCTCTGAAATCTACGATTCTTTTGAGCTTTGGCAGGATAACAAGAAATGCTTGAATTTATAATGTTCAGAACCTGTAGCTATGACTTGAATGTGAGATGTAAGAGAATAACATTTTTAACCACATGTATCCAACTGACATTGAAGCCCCAGTGACACAGAGGGGTTTACATACTTTTTCACATCTAAAAGTAGTTTCACTTCGCGGACATAACTTAACGTCCACACACGATTTGATGGACTGTCTGTGTGACGGCTACCATGAGGGAAAAGAATGCTTATCCATGTATGAAAATATTAAAATGAATGCTTGATTTGATTGGCAGGTTCCTGTTTCGCAGCGGTAACCAGGAGCACCCTGGGGACAAGATCGAGAACACAACAGTGGAAATACTGCCCGTTTCGGTATGGAAACAGGCACCCACACACACACACACACCCCACACACACGCAACAGTCTGTCACCCTTCTCTGATGTGATGTGCAAATAGCTCTGATTAGATTACATTGAGTGGTTGCTCTTAGGGACGTAGCGTATTGATTATTGACAGGAATGTGAGCGTGACAGAATTGCTTGCTCTACCAGAGGTGATACATTCTGACATTGTGATCCACAGTTTGCGTCTGAAGCCTTGCTAACGTCTGCATGAAAGCTGCTCAAACAAGGAATCATTAAGATTTTAATTTGTGTCTTACGTTTTGTTCTGCTGCCCATCTGTTTCTGTCTTCACATGTCAGGAAAGTGGACTGCAGACCAAAGAGAAGTACAAGCGAACCGAAGACCGCTTTTACAGGATCGGTGAGTGAATTTGACAGTCTGTTGATGCTGTATATGTATGAATGTATATAAACACACTGAAACATCATGATCAGATTACACGCTCGCACTAGAGATGCCTAAAGCGATGCGATGCTGTGGTGTGCGAACGATATGAAGTGTTATCAGTTACATTTAAAAAAAAATCCCCTCCAGTTGCATTCTTCTATTCTTTTTAATATTCAGCTTTATCCATGTGTCTTTAATTTAATGTTTCACAGCGCAACATATTGGTTAAGTAAATCTGTTCATGTTTCTAAGTAATCTTTCACGTTTATTTTTTCCCTCTCCACTTAAGCACCTAGTTGACTGATGAATTATTTGCCATGCACTCACCCTATAAATGAGATTTATGGTACTGTCAGGGTTTTTCCTGGCTGAGAATAGGCCTTTGGGGGTTGACTACACACAACAGTAAGCGTGATCGGTACACATATAGTAAAGGCATTGAGTCTGTGTAACCTTATTTTACAGATATCTATGAAGTTTCTTGTTTATTTATATTTTTGCACTGAAAGGACTGCACCTTCGTTTCGTTGTACTTGTTCCAATGACAATAAAACAAATCTGAATCTGAATCTTAATCTGTTATTTCTGACCACTTGATAAACAACAATGTTGGTTATACTTGAGTAAATAAATCCCCAGTTAACAAAACTAGTTTAAAATATGTCTTTATTTGTATATTCTCAATACTTATCATGTTGATGTTAGTGATTTTCCTCTATGCAGTCCAAACCCTGACTTCATATGTGCTTTGTATGTCTATCTGTGTTGGAACACACAGGTCAGTTTGAGAAAGGTGTGGCAGAAGGAGCTGTAGACCCTTCATTCAATCCTGTTCTGGCACTTCGGCTCTCGGTTGTCAAAGACTCTGCTGTGTGGGCCATCCTCAGTGAGGTAAGCCAGTCATGCTGCGCATGTGTTATCCCCTTGCTTAGTATTACAATAAATACCACTTCCTCCAGAAGCATGCTGCATCCTCCTTTCCTATTCAGTAACACAAATGGTGTTCTGCTCTCTCCCTGCAGATACATATAAAGAGGATAACTGGCTGACTGTTCTGGAGGGGGTACATGAATCATGGCCCCTGGGGGACCAAAATCTCCTAGACTGCTTACGCAGGGCCTCTGGCACCTAGCAACCAGCAGTGAAGTCATTAGAGCCCACTAGAGTTGCTCGTCTGAGCTTGTCTGAGGAACGCCACCTCTCTGTCCCCACTCTTCCTAATGTACCTTGTTATTTTGCTTCTCATCGATCGTTTCCTCCCTTTCTTTCTGCATCTCTCCCTCACTCTTGTGCTCTTCATTTATTTGTGAGAATGTGAATACTACTGTCTGAAGAACAACAGCGGAGTGCGTGAAGACATCTGTTCCCAGCTCTGGCTCTCAAAGTGACTGTGTTTGTTCAGCAGCTTTGAAAACAATCACAAAAATTCCTGGACGAATGAGGTTTGAATCTTCACATCTGGGGAGAACCAGTCACCTGGCCACTGGTGTAGATGCTGCCAAAATCCTTCTCTGCTACTCAATGCTGCCACCTTCGGGCATGCTGGGGCATTGCACTGTCACTAGCGCCTCAGCAAAGCCCACGATGATCAAGAATGTTGTCATCACCAATGGCCAGTTGCTCTCTGTTCTCAGCAGAGATGACGGAGCTCTAGATCAACACCAGCCCAAACAAAAATGTTTTCTTCACTCCCAGAGTGTTGTAGGTCACATTTAAACACTTATCCTGACACACAAACTCAGGATGACCTTACTGTTCCAAAATCCTGCCTGTAGCCAGTTGGTGACAACTCTGACCATGGGCCAGTATCAGTGGTAACTACCGTAGTCCATCAAGAGAATAAGTACCATGACACCATATCTATCTCACCTCTTGTCTGACAGGCTGTGTTTGACCTCAGTGTCCATTTATAGTAAACCAATCAGACATTGCCTTGGCGCCATTTTCCTGAAGGAATATATTGTTATATTGATATATTATTACAGCTATGACTGACGATCTATGAAGGTGACTTAATTTATTTGAAATAAATCTTTAATTTGTACAAGAGGTAAAATATATTTTTATTCTATTAAGAGATGTTTATGGTAGCTCAGAGTCTGTGTTTTTGTGTACTTTGTTTTTTTTTCTTTTTTTTTCTTTTTCTAAATTGCTATTGTACTTTTTATTTTCTTTATAACAGCTACTTGGAAAGCGGTTTGTTCGTGGGTGCGAGTAGCTCAGTTCAGTCTGTACCAGTTTCTTTTCACTTGAAGCAAAACGTTTTAACTAAAACCGTTAATTTTCACTGTAAGAAAAACCTGAATGGTAGGAAAGTTGTGAAAGATTCTGTTCAAGTAGTTGTTGATGTGCGTCAAAATTGGAAAAATGTGCCTTATATCCAGGTCCCTTGAAATTGTCCCAGCAAGGTTATTTCAATTTGTTCCCTCTCACTTTTTGCCTACAAGTTAATTGCTGGATATACTAATATTTTTAAAGCAACACACAGTCCAATTAGTGATTGGATGTCAAGAACAATATCTCTGTTATGCTGAGTGAAAGTGGTCAATCTGGTTGTACCAGATAAGCATCTGAAACAGCGTGATTTGCACTGCTTTTTCACTTTTTTTTTTTTGTTATTCTTACAATCACATCCTTCATCATTGTACACAATCTTCCATTTTCCCCACAGTTTCTTCCCTTCACATTCACTTCACAATTCATTTTGTCCATTTACATATCTGGTTTTTTGGTTGGACAAAATATTATGACTACTGATTATTGCAGAGTGCACCACTGATTGTATATATATAAAAACAACAACAACAAGCGTCATCTCTTTCTCTATCGCTCTCTCTTTTTTCCTCTCTTTATTGAAATCCACTTGGCATGTTTTGTGTGTGTGGCTGATGTTGTGAGTGGAAGCTATTTTTAGGTGAAACTTCACTCATTTTACATGTTAGTGGTTTATTCAAGGGGGTAGTGAAGTGCCTTTTGGTGGTATTGATATGAAAATGGAACAGTTTTTACTATTCATGCTTGTTCAAATGCATGACAACGATTTGTAATTTATAAACAATGTTTTTTGTTTGTTTGTTTGTTTTTATTTTATTTTTTATTTTTGTCCGAGCAGGCTCCTCCACCCCCTGATCAAACCATCTACACTTGAGCTGTACTTAAGAAAACCGAAGTGGTTCAGTCTCTGCCTCTTCATCAAATGTTTTGAATAGGGAGGAGATGCAAGCAAGCCACTTGAACTGTTGTTTTGAATGGGAATGGACAATTCCAGTAGTGCTAGCAGGACTGGCTTATGCCCCTTTCCTGCATCTACATACAGAGACTGAGTGCATGAAAATGGCATGAAACGGTCATGTGATCCTTGAGATCTCCCCTACTGCATTTGTATAAAGTGGACAGTAAACAAAGGAAACAACCCCAGACACTCATCTGTTCATGTGCCTTCATCGTGTACATGTGTATGCCTGACTGATGATTTTGGCATCGTTTTTCATGGACATTCTCAAAATAAATGATAAAAGTTGTTAGAAGTCATGGCCATTTTGTGTTGTGATTTTGTTCTACTTGCGTCACTCATGTCATCTGCATCACCAGGTTTGATTTAAAGGTAGCTCACTTCTCAGATGCCACCAGAAACCAACAGAAAACAAGGCTGACACAGCCTCCTTACGTTATACAAATGGATTATTTGTTTACGTTCTCAATATGCATGAAAAACTACAAGTCTTCCCGGCATGCACTTCTTTGCGTCACCTCATCCGTTTTCCCATCATGCCGTTTCAGAAACATGGTGGCTCACAGTTTTCATAACAGCACCGATGTCACTGCTGGTAACTAGAAGATTCCTGCACTTGAGAGTTTATTATTAAGGCATAACTGGTGTTAAAGGTAATTCGGAACAATGCCGAAATATTACGAGGATAAAGAGGAGGACCACAGAGCCTGCGCCGGTATCAGAGAAGACTTCAAGGCTTGTCTCCTTCAGCACGACTGTGTTGTTAAGGTAAGTTAGTGTACTCTGACATGTTTATCCACAAATATTGATGTCACAGCTAACCACAATTTGCGGTAGCATTGATTTTTTTACTTTTGAGTGGAGCACAATGAAAAGCGTTTATCAAGTGTAAACGCTAGCTAACATTTAGCTAACCAGAGGTCATTAATGAGCATAGCCATTCTGTCATTCTACGCCGCGCCAGACTCCGTTCAAAAAACTGGCAATAAATATTGAATGAATTCTATACTTATAATTTTATGCACTTGACTGTCCAAGTCAAGTGTAATAACAATCGACAGACGTTACTGTTCAGTTCGGCGTTAATGTACACATACTCACCTCACAGTTCTTCTGATAAAGAACTTCTTATTCATTTGAGTGTGCGCTAGCTTACTTGCTAACGGTGTGTTAGCTCACACAAGAACTTTAGCTAATAATGAGAGCTAGTCCTGATATAGCGAGTTACTTTTGGTTTCTAAAGACATTTAAGGTTGCAGTTGCAATGGCCGGTTCAAAATGTTTGTGGTGTATTTAATTTTAATTCAGTTCAGTTACTTTAATTTCATGAATACCAATGCAAAAGCATCAAAACAGGTATAATTTAGATATATGTTTTTTTTTTTGTTTTTTTTTAAAAAAAGGTTAGAAAAATAAAAGAAGAATAATAAAAAAAATAATGCAGTGATACAAAAAGAAAATAGAGAATGTCAAGAAAGCCATTGTCCACACTGATAATAGGCTCTATCAAAAATAATAATATTCAGTGATGTTTTATTTATGCATCTCTCAGCCTATGACATGGAGCCACATATGATGCAGCGAGATCAGCTGTGTCTCTCCCACCAACACAATCTGTTGCCTGTTATTGTAGTCTAGTTCTGAGAAATTTGGGATCAACGCCTCAAACTGTCTAGACGTATTTTGTTTGTTTTTGAATTTGCAGTAAAAATCTTGCGTTGTACAAAACAAGGTTTTGTATTTTTCACAGGTCATAATAGATAAAAACCTTTTTTCTGACGTAAACAAACATTTAGAGTTATTTAATAAACTGTCATTTTTTTCACATTTGAATTAAAATCATGATTATATAAAACAAAGTATTCCATATTGATTTGCTACACTTGATGATTCTTAACAAAATTGTTGAAATATAGATATTTTCTCAATTCTGTCATTTTGGGAGGGACACCAGAAATTGTTTAATGATTGAATGACTCTGTCTTGTTCCGAGACAGAACTGTTGTCACTGCTCTTGTTGTGATTGTATATAGCTGGAATGCACGGCCTAATCGCAGAACAAGCTCAATGTATTCTACCTGCTGTCTTCATTCATCAGGAGGGAAAGATGCCCAGTGAGTGCCTGAAGGAAGGCCACTGCAAAGCACTGCAGACATCATTCTTTGAGTGCAAGAGGTCAATGGTAGGTCTGCTTCAATTATGTACTTGGCAATTATGTAAGAACTGGTGAAACAGAAACTGGCGTATCAGACATCAACCATAAAGGGGGAACTTAAGACAGTCATTATAAGCTGATATACAAAACACTGCGTGGTATGTGGGGAAAAAACGGGGAATGTTTCATCTTCCTCTTTCCTACAAGCTGTGTTTTCCCAAGTGGCATAAGCATAACGAAACAGACATTTTATTCAATACCCATGACTGATCTATAAATTAAATCAAAGAGAGCTTGAGTCATGTGTTCAGATGTGTTGCATAGACTGATGTCTGTCCTCTGTCTGCAGCTGGACACAAGGTCGAGATTCAGAGGAAGGAAAGGAGATTGAGGAGCCAACTGAATGCCAATGCAGCCGCATGGTTGAGTGAAAGCTGGATGAGCAGCTGTGAATACTTGAACTTGCTCATGTGTCAGCGTACGCTCAGCGTTGCAAAAGCCCCATCTGATGAACATGTGTGAGGAAAGTGGAACCCAAAGGACAACTAAATATGAAAGAAATGTTCACAGTGACACAAAACAGGATCATTAGCAGAGCTGCTGATGGGCTGAAGTTTTGGGCATCTTGATTCCTTGTGAGAAAAATGTGCTACGCTGGATGAATGAGTATGTTGAGTGTAATGATAAACAACTGCAAAAACAAATAATGAATAAAATGTAAAATAACAATTTCTATTAATGTTTTTTTATTGAGGTACTATCATAAAAAACACAAACATATTTCCAGTGTATTAATAAAAATGTGTTTTTCTGATTACATCATCATACCACTGAGGTATACAGTATGTTAGTCTATCACTACAAGTGCTCTTAGCTGTGTGAGTTCACCAGTTTCTTCAGAGCTACAACTGGGTAACAAACCTTCAGACTGAGCTAAAACATGTGGACAGTAACCCAGTCCCTCATTCAGATCTGTCATTTCAAAGCAGCCATCATCATCTGCTCAAACTTCTTCATATCCACCTTCTTCATGATAACAGCTTTGCGAGTCTTCTTGAGAAAACCCACAGTGTCTACTATCATCATGCCTCTGGTGTGTGTGCCCGTCAGCTCGACACTGACGGGGTATTGGTCGCTTTCTAGGATGAATGAATCGTCCACAGCAGCGGCCATGGCGTACGAGTCGCAGGAAATAAATCCCGAGCCGCTGACAAACTCCTTCTCGAAGCGGTCGCTCTGCGACACCTCGATGCTGTGGCGGAAGATCTGCGCCATGAAGCGAGCTTTATCAGTGTCCTGAGCCAACCAGGCGTCGCAGAACTCCTGGAGAATGCAAACGCAGACATGTTGCAGCATTTTTTGTTGTCTTATAGATGAATCTACATGTATATGCTGAAGTGTGTAAAAGAGAGCGTTACCCATGACAGCTTGCTGTAGCAGGTAAACTCCCAGCAGGCCAAGTATGTGGGACAGTGGTAGTCGTTCAGCACAATGTACGCAGCTTCTGGATCAGCAGTAAAATTGAACTCACCACAAACTGTGGTGTTTCCTCGAGCTGCATTGTAGAAGGGAGACAATATTGAGAACCCCTGGTAGACTAATTCGACTACAATTACTAACACTATGCTCACAATTTATCATTTTCATTACTGACGAATCCTTATTGGATAATATTTTCATCTGTAGTGAACATGTCAAGTGGCAAACTGTCTAAGATCCAGACATATTTGATTCACAATAAAAGAAAATTAGGAAAAGCAGCATGTTTGCAGTGAAAAATAGCTGAAATAGTTCATTTACAATGTGTTCCTCATTCACACATACATTGTTGTAATAGTGGCAGAGCTACCATGCAAGGTGCTGCCTGCCATTGGGAGCAACTTCTGGTTCAATGTTTTACCCAAAGACACTTCAACATGTGGAGGATCAAGAGATCGAACCGCAAACCTTGTGATTAGAGGACAACCTGCTCTACCACCTGATCCACAGGTGATGATTTATTAGTAAATATTTTCTATTGATCTGATAATCCGATAACTGTTTCAGCTCATCATAGCAGCTTTAACGACAGCAGTGCTTTCCTTCTCTAGAGGATGTCCAGCCTTTAGTGTTTTGACTTTTCAACTCCTCCGACATTAGATTAGATGAGAGACTAGCTAGCAGAGCTTAAAAGACATCAAGTCATTTGTGTGCCAACTAGAGGTATGCTATTAAAACAAAGGAAAAATGTTTAGACAAGACTCTCTTCTTATGTTGTTTACATTATTTTGTCTAGGCCTTGTGTAATGCACATGGTTACCACCATGCAGACACTAGTCGGCCGTGTTTTACTGACATTCAGTGTTTCCTCCCATGATGTAGAGCCCTCGGAGTTTGCTCGGTAGAGACGGATCCATCCTCACGGCCAGAGCCAAGTTGGTGAGGGGTGCCGTGGCAACCAGAGATACCTGATAGAGACACACACACTTAAAACATGCAAGGAGTAGCACAAAAAGCACATACACTAACGGGTCTTTCCCTTCTCACCTCTCCTGGGTTCTCATTAACAATCCTGATCATAGCTGACACGGCGCCCTCCTTCTGAACCAGGTCCAGACCGGGAGCGTTGGAGTCGGGGACGTCTCCCAGGCCGTCCTGTCCGTGGAATTCTCCCGCACTGATGGTGTCACCAAGGATAGGCTTAGCAGCGCCTTTAAACACTGGAATCTTGTCCATGAAAAGAAAAGCAGACCAGATGAAACACAAGTAAGAATGATTCCTATCACCCGACTTCCAAACGGATGCGGAAGTTACAAATAATGTTACAACTGACAACAAAAGGTTGGGCAGGATGGTGACAATGGAAATTTGTCAGCAAGAGTGCAATTATACAGACAGACTATTTTATGGCATCACCAGGTTGCTAAAGGATTCCTAAATTATTGGGATAACCTTAGCTTAACCGAAATACGCCCTTAATGCTGCCTGAAAAACACAACTCCAACGCTCTAATGCCAAATGAACAACTTTGGGCTCTATGTATAAAAGACACTGACACTACTGAAGTAGTAAACGTGCTACTCTAGTGAATTTTGATGCAATAGAAAGGAAGCAATGCTCCGCCTATTTTAATCATAGCAGTATCAGGCAACGTCCCCATGAGTCCCATTTTATTGTCAACAAAATAACACATTAGCATTATGATATTGATTGATTTTCCAGAAAATTTTTAACTTTAAAATAGATATTGAGAAACGATAATGACAGTGAATATGACGTACTATTTGCGAGCCCTAGCACGCCTACCAAAAGACTAGGGGTGGACACTATTACATCATTTTGTTTTAAAAAATAAATGATTAATGAATTAAATACACTCAATACTGGAGGCTCTGCTAGTTTTCCTACAAACACAAATCTCAAACAATGAAGCACGCCCTTTTCTAAAGTACTTTTTAGGAAAATCTGATGCCTAAATAAGACACCTGATAGCAGAGAGATGACATCAAACAAAGAGAAGGAGAGATGGGGAGTCAAACGGGGAATGATGGAGTTCATGGCCGCCATGGACACCTACAAACTTCTGTTTACAATTGTACTTACTAATCGGCATTGCTGATGAATGCTGGTCAACACAATAATGGTAGTACTGTCATCTTGCCATGTATTCTTGTAACTCAAACTTGAGTTCCTTCTGCTTGTCAAGTTCCTGCATCAAGTCATGTGGCTTAAGGAACAACAACTCTTTGTTTACCACTGGACAGCAGAAAATTCCTCCTCATGTCACTCATCATACTCTAAAGAGCAACACAAGCGAGTACGCAAAGTGGACAGAAAATCCCAGCAGCGCCCACCTCAAGTTTATTACAGGCTTGCAGAACTCGCAGCGTGTTCTTGCACACGTTCTCCACCGTGGTGTTTCCGTGCACACAGGTGACGCCCAGGAGCTTCACGTTGGGGGCGGCCAGCGCCAACATGATGGCCTGAGCATCGTCCACACCGCAGTCCACATCCACCAGCAGCTTCTTGCTCATCCTGGACCCTGCAGGGCACAGTTCAACAACACCCATACACATTCACCATTAGGTTAGGGTTTAAGTTTATGATTAAACTGAACCTAACAGCTCTGTCACATAGAGATAAAGAACATTTAATCAGTTTATATGAACAAAAATGACTGAATAGCACCAACCTGTAGCTGAGTGTGAAAAAGAGAAACTGTTGTGCTTTGGTCTCACAGACTGGAACCAACGATGTTCAGCTGACAGCAACCTTCAAGCAGAAAGACAGAAAAGTGAATGAAGAGTGGGTTGAATGGGAGGAGTTCAAACATAGGAGGCTAAAGTTAATATTCAACTTGTCCTCCAAGAATGAATAAAACTAATATATAATCTGTTATGGAGTAAACACACAACCTGTCTTCTAAGCTTTGTCTAACTAAAGAGAGTCAAAAATCTTGATTTATACAAGAAAGAGCAGCATGTACAATCTGAAACACTAAGGTATTAGCTGTACACTGTTATGTAATTCTTATACGTGTAAGCAGCATGTTAATGTTGCAGCTAATCGACAACATCAGGTTAATCCAGTGCAGTAAACAGCACACAGCAGCACAAACACTGATTTATGGCCAACAGCAACACTACCAGGCTAACAGGACAGCTATCAGACAGAACTATGGACAAAGGTCAGAGTCTTCACCTTCAACCACAGCTCTCCTGCAGTATTTTTTTTTTCACTTTACTTTATAACTTCGTGGAGTAACTGAGCAGCATCGCCTCACCTCCCCACGGAGCTGCAGAGACGCGTTGCTGCAACACACCGAATAATCCCGGAGACATGCGGACAAATCATAAGACTGAAGTTTGCTGTTATATAGGCAGCTCTAAACGAGGAATGCGGATAGTGTAATTAAAGATTTTACATGCTGATAAATTACAGGCCTGGTTCCAGTACAGTTAGGAAGATTTGTCGAGTTAAAACATCGTAAAACTGGGATTTTTTTTGACAACTATGCTAATTTAAATATTAACTTTAGCGGCACAATGCAGTGTGCGCATGCGCGAGAATTACGGCGCGTCTTAAAGAGACACGCACATGTTGTTTTTGCATTCACAGTCGTCCTCAAATTTAAAGAAAATGCAAAATCCACAACAGTTGCTCAAATGAACAGAAACTAAAACAAGTAATAATAAACAAAAATTTGCTAAATTATAGTTTAATGAAACAAGGCATTGCTTTTGAATTGTAGTTGAAAAGAATAATGAAAAAAAATAAATACTGTCCCGGACAAATGAGAGCACTTTGCTGATGAGCAGTGGGCCAAAATCAAAATACCTGTCAACAGGTGCAGAAGTCTGATTGAGAGTTACAGAAAACACTTGATTGCAGTGATTTCCTCAAAGGGTTGTTCAACAAAATATTAGTTTACGGGTCCCATCATGCTTGTTTGCTTATTTTTAAAAAAAATATTTCTGTTGAACCACAATTCAAAAGTAATGTCATGATTTTCATTGCATTTTTATTTATTATTACTTTTGTCAATTTTAACTTATTTCAGTGACTGCTGTTTTTTCCCCCCTTTTTTTAATGGGAGGGTATAAATACATTTGACATTTTACATGTGTGTGGCCTTGGGTCACATACATACTAATAGGTAAAGTAATCCACTTCGTAAAATAGAAACTACACACAATGGAAACTTAAATAAAAGAAATACATGTAGTTTACACTCGGCCATCCTTCCAGAGAGACTGTGAACACCAGTGGTAACCCACTCAGGTGATTTGAATTATGTTGCTTTTCTCTGAAGACACTGAGACATGTGACCGTAGCAAAAAATCTAATTATTGACGGTTTGAACTTTATTCCATGTGCTTCCGTTTAAGTATCCTAACATTGTACATGTTGGCTCACTATCTAGAACCATCAATAATGTTATTAGTAACACAAATCCCATTCCTCCTTTGACAAATCAAACTGCCTGCTGTGAAAATGGCCTTTTAGGGCTCCTATCAGGACTGCATGAGTTTGAACAGACTGTATCTGATTGGCATTTATCCTTTTCAGCTGATAGCTTTGATCCCTGTTTTACTGCAGGATAAATTACACCTGCATCTTTCCGATTCTTCATTGCAACCTGAACAGGTCTAATCAACCACAATAAGTGATAACATCTGTGAGGGGGAGAATAGATAATTATGCAGGAGCTGGTGTATCTGGAGTGGCTGGAGAAGCATTAGTACCTGGAGTTCCCGCTTAATTATCTAGTCTAATGCAAGTTAGACAGTTTCACAAAAAGAAATACTATTTTATTTTAAGCAATCTGATTTAGAATGTTCACTGCCTGAGCTTCACTGTGCTACACCAGCACTGAGCCATGCTACATTGAGAAGCTAAAGGAACTCTGCTCTGCTGCAGCTCTGCACGACACTGAACTTTACTGTCACTTTTAAAAAAATAAACTATCCTTGTCAGAATACATTTTTTTGACAAAGCACATATTTCCTGACAGACGTGTTTTTGTTTAGTTCAATTGGCTTCATCTACCCAGAAATCTAACCCAAATCTAATTAAACAGGCAAGAAACAGACAGTCTTGCACAACAGATAAAGATATGCCTGTCTAATGTTTGGGTGGTTAGACTCTTTGTAATACCATTTAGATGAACTCAGTTGGAAAGACAAAAAGAGAAATAAACAAGATCTGGAAATTTAAAAAAATCAGAGAGAGAAAACCTTCAGGCATGTTTAGAGATATATAAAAATATTGTGATATGGTAATTTTCCATTAAAAAAGAAGGAATTTTTAAGGCCCCATTTCAGATCCCTTTCAAACAAGTTAATGCAAATCTCACTTGTGCCCAGAACTTTCTGATCTATGTAGAAAGAGGTGAGGTGATGGGCTTTTCTCGTATGTTGAGGATCTCTGGGACACATGAATATGTTCAAAAACTTGGGCTTTTGCATAATATGGCCGCTTTATTTGATATGTACGCTTTGTGTCTGATATAAATATGCATGCATTGTTCACTTAAAAAATGTAACTATCTGATATGAGATGTCTCCTCATCACACAAGTCCAACATCAGTATTTTTACAATGACAGTTTTAGATTTTCACATCACATTGGTGCTGGTCAGTTGAACCAGGATTTGTTTTGGCAACTGAAACTGAAATGTCTCATCCAGTGTCGAAATCAGAGGGAACATCAATCTTCATGGTGTAGGTTAAACATGTGAGTGGAGTGACTATTAAGCAAAACACATTTGAGTGGATGGAGACTTTAAGAGTCTTAATTCAGTCTTAATGCTTAATTCACAAACCATACATTTTTAATGTAATTCACAGACACAAATTTGGCATCGACAAGCCTTTATTCATTATCCAGGTTCGGTTCATCCCCCTGTGGGTGTGCAGGCATCTGCCAAACACCCCGTTCAACCTGTGTGCATGTACAACTGATCAGAACAAGGTCATAACTTACTAATAACAATGGATAAAACTATAACAGCATTTGGCAGCACCAGCCATATTAACATAAATACCTTTAAGCAAAATAACATTTTCAAAATAAAATCCCCTGTCTCTGTAAGTATTGTACAATAAGGTACATCAGAGCCTGGAGCTGACAACAGAAGAGTTGTTGTTGTTGATGGTTGGTACAATAATGCAATATGCATTATTTCACTTTATTCTTCAAACCTTTATCAAGTACTCTTAACTGCAAATGTGTACAGTTGCAATAGTATCAAGCAGAAGTCTTCATGCAGGTTAAATGACTAAAATTTTAATTGATTTCGATCGCAAAGTTCTGCATAATTCAAGTGAGTGCTGTAAAACTGAGAGTAACAAATAAAAACCCAAATCTGAAGGGCTATCAAACCACTATAATGCTGCATATGATCCTGCAGAGACGTCCTAAATATCTTTAGATATGTTAGAATTATAGAATAATGTGATGCACCACTCTGAAGCCCGTGATTTGTGAACCAGTTCCGCGCCGATGCTTTCGGCGCAGCATCAGAAGAACCTCAGAAATCACATCGGATAATACAAATGTCAGGGTGAAGTGTCAGATATATACTTCTTAAAGATCTGTGCTTGTTGTAGAGCGCAATAAGGTGTTAAATATTCAAGTGATTGAAGAAAGATAAGACAGTGGGGAAAGACAGACAACAGGCTAAAAGCACCGAAAATAAACTGAATTAGTAAGCTGTCATCCTGCAATGCAGTTTAGGTCCAGAGAAATATCTCTCACAGGTAAAGACGTGTGTTTGGATAAAGCTGTGTTGCCTACGCTGGATTTAAAGCAACACAAGGCAACGCTAAGTGCAGGAGGCTCCAAACACCAGTTTGGCTCCATATTTGACGAATAAGGTCAAATTTTGGCAATTTTGATCAAAAACTGTAATTTCTACCTTGTGTTGCCTTAAATAGTGAAGCTGGTGTTATTTTATACTTCTTCATTGTGAACAAATTCCACAAAATTGACAGAAAACAATGTGTTGCTGCGTTTCTAACTTTCTGCTGCTCTCTGCCTCAAGCCCACTGAATCCTACTGAGGATGTAAATCTTAAAAACTCGCCCCAAATATGTAGTTTTTTCCAAGTAATTTTCTGAAAACAATTTTGCACTGTAGTTTACAACTAATGTTACTCTGACAGGCTGAAATACAGTAATATTTGGGAAATATTTTAAGAAGCAGACTACTGTAGATTAATTGTATGGAAT